AAGTTTATAAGAGATCAAATATCCGTACCCGCCTATAATCTAGTTAACAAATAAAGCGTATGAAATAGGTGGACCCAAAATATCTGAAGATTCAGGGGATGGGTAGATGCGATTATTGGATAACACGTATTTCACCAGATAATAATTGTTATGGTCAACGTGCATTAAAATAAACTTCCGATAATATATCACACATTATTGTTTACAAGCAAACAACAAATAAACATTTTTAAAAAAGTGCAAGATCAATTTTTATATAAATCTAATAAAAATCGTTAAAATATAATTTTCATAAAAACGTCGTCGTTTTAACAGAAAACTATAATTATCGTTCCAAAAATGCAAGATCAACTTTTACTAAACTTTTGATCATTTTCATGCATTTATCGCACACCTAATGGCTGCTATATATTGTCAAACACATCAACTTTTAAATTAGTTTTTGTTTTACCCTAGCCAAAATAATAGTGTTTTGATTCTCATCATAAATAAAAAGACATTTCAAGGTGTTGTTTTGCATTTCTGTATTTTTCCATTATAGAATAATAATACATATGGTACACGCATATATTCAACGAAATTTAGATTTTCGGCAAAATATTTATAATTGAGCTTGTACAGGTAAGCTATATGTAATCAAACTGGACATGACACATGCATAGATGCGTATCTAATGGATCTAAATTGGTAAGATGTTTTTCCTACAACTCATATAATGATCAACCCATCATCTTCTTCATGTCTAAACCATATCATCAAGATTCTTTGTAACTTGATTATTGCCGATTGATTCTTTGTAATAATTTGATTATAAATGGGTAACATGTTATGTGTTTATCGTTTTATTGATCAAAATCACTGATTTATTTTTATTATGCGTATTCTCAATTGAAAAAAAACTTGAAGTTATTACTAAGACAGAATCCGAAGGTAAGAACACGGATTAATATTAAGAAACAAAAGTACATGAACCATGCAAGAACTCAGAAGGATCTACCTCTTTTCGATGCATTAGAAGACAAATTACGCACAGAGAGAAAACATTTGATGTTGAAAAAAAAAACTATAAAAAAGGTAAACAATTATTCTGATTTTTTTGTATTTTAAGCGTTTTCTATATTCACTAAAAAAAGTAAAAACGACCAATGGGAAAAGAGATATAAAATTAAGCCAAACTTTAACCAAAAAAAGATATAATTAAGCCGTCTTTATAATGACAAGTCGCTGACTCGGTCGACAATTGTGACTAACTATATATATTTGCAACAATTTTTTTTGTCTCAAGTCTTAACCACATTATAAGAAAACTTATGTAATAATTTATGTAATAGACACATGGTAAATAGAGTTATACAAATGTACACATGACACATGCAGATATGCGCGTATGTGTGTCTTCGTGTACAGCTGGAGGATGAAGTGGACTACGTCACGTTAATTGGACAACAAACAAATTGTAAAATACACCAATCATTTGTAATGAGATCATATCGTTGAGAATCAGCTAACATATCTATTAGAATCATTTGTTCGTCTTCTAATAAATATAGAATTACATATTTATACGTTATTACAACTATACGTAACTTTAATAAAGAACAAAACATATAATCAATTTCAAACAAAATAATTTACCCCAAAAAAAAGTTTTATCAAAATTATCTTTTACGAAGCTTGCGTTTGTGTCTGAATTGTATGATCAATTTCCAAGTGAGAACATGAAACATAATCCTCAATATCATTCTTGGGTTATTTATCTTAAGATTGAATTTTCCTTTCTTTTTAATATCAAGTGTGAAAAGATGATTTTCTAATACAAAACCAATGAATTGTACCACTGGTTTCTAATTCATCTATACATATATACATACATGTATTGTGTTGATTATTTTTTACTTCTGCTGCCGGAATTCCTAACAAGGATCTTTTTCTATTTCTCCTTTTTCCGGTGCAATAGAAGACATATACATAGGTCAATAATAATAATTGGTGTAGCCGAAAAATAAAATTCAAGTGGGTAATGAAATAATGTTAAAATACCTATTGATTTATCAGAGTTTCCCCTGTTTTCAGCAAAAACAAAAAAACATATAAGAAAAGACACATAAATGGCAAACATAGAAAAGTATATAATTTAGTGTTTTCAATTGAAATACAATACCCATTTTTTCTGTTCTAATAATATATTTATTTTGTTTCATAATATAAAATGCTTTAGTTTACAACACGAAGAGTAAACTTTTTTTGTTTCAAAAATAGCATTT